TCTCTCTCTCTCTCTCTCTCTCTCTCTCTCTCTCTCTCTCTCAACACTCTAATAAAAGTTAAATATTCAGCTTTAATACATGCCCGATCCAAAGCACACACATGTCAACAAATATTGACTGAAGTCCCTATGGAGAAAGATATTGGAATAAATAACACATTAATATTTACCATTAGATAACTTCAAACTTAAATTATTTTATTACATACGCTGTTATTTAGTTTCAGCATATATAAAAAGGGTTGCCACGTTTAAAATCATGTTTAAAATACTTCAGTGCCTGTGTTTCTATTTCTGATATATTTAACACCGAGTAGTTTCATAGCGTAGCAAAATATACAAGATCCCCTCGACAGACTCCTCTCTATTTCATGCAGTGACATTTGCTGAGAGTTAGTTAGCTAGTGTTTGTGCTTTAGGCAGGGAAACATCATCCACTGCTGGGTCATGTTTTAATTTTAGAGCCATCAAAGTCTCGTCTCACTCTCACACAACTCACCCCGCGCTCCAGTTAACTGACTTCGCGTCAAACATACAGTACCTGACTAAGCAACCCCACAGCTATTTATGGACTCACTTGGAATAATATGAACAGGTACACAGGCGTGCAGACACTAGATACACACACCCCGCTAGCTATTTCTGTGCCCCGGTGGCAAAATAATATGTTTGGATAAGGTCAAGAGCCGGGATGTGATTTCCAAACGTGATCTCTTTCTCTGACTATGCTGAAACATCTCTCGAGTTAATTGACAGCAGGAGAAAACGTGTAGACAGAGATGCAGAGGCATGGGGGGGGGGGGGAGACGACAAATAGAGACAGAAGGAGAAAGAGATGAGTCTCTTTCAGACATCAAATCCCTCAGTAGGGAAACATTTTGGGGTTAATCCACGTATTTAGTGACAGCGTTTTGGCTTTCAGATCGGTGAGTCCTGTACTGACTCAGTGCAAATATGACTTGTTGTTATGGATAAAAGTGCAACGCTTGTATAATATTAGGCACCAACCTCGTGAGACTTTATGCATTCAAAGGCATTGCTTACGTGTGTCTGTAAGGCTGTTAACGTCCATCATCCGCAGTTCTCTAACAGTGCATTTCCACTGCGTGGTACGGTGCGGCTCTGCTCTGCTCAGCTCCTTTTCCTTCAGCAAGTTGCAGCAGACCACTGATTGATCACAGAGAATCGTCACTAGACTCGTTACTCGAGTGACACGCGGCAGCCTGCACGGACCTCGAATTTCTTGAATCAGACTTTTAAAAAGTGAAAACGCTCCTCTGTTTGGTTGCTGATGAAAGATGATGTCATGGCAGTTTCCCGTGGTGAGAATCTCGCTTACACTTAAATAGTTACTCTCAGGTAACGCCCTTCAAAGTAAAATCCGCTGCTTTAAAAGCGTCGCTTCTTAGCCTTCGTTTGTATGCTACATGTAAAAACAGCCTACATGAGAAAGCTGTGCTGTCGGCCATGTGTCTGTTTAAAATCACAGTTCAGCCATGCAGAAAATGTTTCAGAACTTTTACCAGGTTGTAATAAGTATCAGAGGGACCTTTACGGAAAAATGACTTGGGCCCTTTTCAGACACGAGGCCTACATGTAAAATTGGCGCAGCATTTTGGGATTACAGTGCATGTCTGAAAGTGGAAACAGAGACAGGGTGTACTGTATGTGAGTGTGTGTGTGTCCAATTTCCCAAGGCTTTTCAGATACCACAGCCAGACCTCAAAACTATCATCACTGTTCTCGCTCCCATCTGCCAAAGTCATCACCCACACACAGACACTCTCACTCTCTCTATCAGGCACACACCACACACACACGCACGCACGCACACACACACACACACAAAAAAGAGGTGTGAAATAGCCTTCCTGTACCATTTTAACAGGGGTGGGAACCTGGCTATAAAGTTTCTAACGTTCTTAACTTCTGTCCGTCATTCCACTCATTGGCTTCCTCTATCTCTTTCTCTCTCTTACACACACACACACACACACACACACACACACACACACACACACACACACACACACACACACACACACACACACACACACACACACACACACACAAATAAACATTTGTTGTTGGCTTGATGGTCTGCTGAGGTGTTGGTTCTTAGAAGCAAAATAAAATGAGGTGAGAAAAAGCTAGTAACAACTACTCTGAGTTTTTAACTGTTTAATTTGACACTATTTTCACTTAAAGATATTTATATTTTTAGATACATAAGAGTTTACAGTGCAGTGTTGCCAGGTATGTTAAGTGGCTTTAAGTAAGTACATTACCACAGTACAATTCATCTTAGGAAAATAATGGGAAAAAAAAATCAAGCACAGTGGAGGATAAAAGAAAAAATATTAAAAAAGAAGATGTAAAGATAGTGCAAGAGTGAAGAAAGTGAAGATAATTAAAGTTGCAGGCTGTGGAAGTGGAAAGGTTGCAAATGAAAAATGAGATGCTGCACGCCCGAGATTGAATGATGATGGTTGTAGACGAGGTATGTGTTCGACTGTGTTTCACATCGAGAATAGCACGTTGAAACGGTCAGTAAGCAGCTGAGGTTTCACACATGTTCCAAGCTCGTGTCAAACATGCTTTTAACACAACTATGGCTTTAATTATTTATCTGATTTCATCAGAAAAGACATCACGAGAAAATAAAAGGAAGGAATTCTTCAAGAATTCATTAGTATTACTCAGGAAGCTGTTATTGTTCTTGTGCTGGCTAATGTTAGTGATAGTTCAATAGGCTAACATATGCTGCACAGAGATAGTCCGCTGGTTCAGGTCCCTGCTTGACTGTCAAGTCTGACTGGAGAGAAGTTTCGCCTGTCCTGTGTCCTCACCTGCCTTTTTGCTTTACAACAGTCAGAATAAATAGAAATACAGGGGAGCGAGGTGCTAAGTCTGACTGAAAAATGAAACATCAGGAAACACATGACAATACAAATTTAAAATGCTTTCTTTAACTTGTAAAATGCTGTAATAGAAGTCTTGTTTAGTACGGAGCCGCTGGAAATGAAAAGCGTCTTGCTGTCTGACATCGGCTCATGTTGCTGATTCAAAGAAGCAGAAAACAAGCTGTACAACATGAGCTAAATCCACGATGAGGTAGTAATGTACACAATAAATCAGGAAGTAAAGTTCTTAAAATAAAATCTTTATATATCGATATACGTATTGAAATTCGCTGGCTTTCTAGTTTAATACAACATAAAGACAACTGACTGTGCCTAAGCCAAAGTCAGTTTTGGTGGGGGAGCAGATCGAGGAGTCAGGGATCAGTTTTCAACCCCTTTCTGAGTGTGTGTTCCCCAGGGAGGGGATAAGGCGAGTTCCTGGCTGAGACTGAGGCCTCCAGAGACACACAGAAAGACACACAGACTAGACAAATTTAATTAGCGGCTTCAAAGAGAAAAGGAAGAAAAGAAGAGAAGCGTGATCAAATATGTCTTTTTGGACGAAACAGTACCTTGGTAGGGAGGCATACTGACGTTCCACTTCTTCATAACGCGGTGCCAACCGGTGATCAGGCCCTCTGCCTGGCATCTGGAGAAGAGAGACAACTTCTTAGTTTTGATATATTAAAGTAAAACAACCTAAATTACATATATTCTCTGCTCAAAATACAAATAAACTGCTATACTGTGGGCCCATAAGCATGTGCAGTGCATGCCCATAAGCCCTTTTCCTTTATATGCGTGTACATGAGTGGGTTTCTCTTTGTGTTCGTGATACAGGGGTAATTTAGGATTGACAAAGGCTAGTTATTAGGGATTACTGGGGGGGTCTTTTTTGGGGGGGAGGGGGGATTAGACAAGGCCCCCATCCTAGATTAGGTTACTTCAAAACAGGATGGAGTTGTCACACACACACACACACACACACACACACACACACACACACACACACACA